AAAAAAAACACGTGTTTACAAAAATGTAGGGGGCGTGGAGGTGGGCGTGATCATTTACATGACTTGTATTTACATACATATATTAAATATTATTTATTCTACGCAAAAACTTACATAATTTATGTATATATATTTATATTTTTCTTTAAAATATTTTTATTTTTTGGCTATTCAGCACAACACAAAATATGTTTTTTTTTCTTTTTTTTTTTGCGTTTTTTTTTTATTTTATTTTTAATTTTCTTCTTTTTGCTAATATTTTGTTTTATTTTTTATTTTTTTTTTACTTGAACTACGAGCCAAGTAAAAACGACCGCACGCAGCGAAGCCAAAGCGTAAACTGAAAGCAGAACAGGATCGGTTGCTATAGAAATCGTTTGGATCGTCGCTGCTGCTGCTGCTGCTGCTGTTGCCGCTTCTGCTGACGTCGCTGTCGCCGCTGTCGATAAGTCTTCAAAGCGGTTTAAGCACGACGACTTACAGCGGCTACCTGATCGAACTGCTCTTATCAGCTGGGGAGGCGCCCACATTGTGCACTCGCTCGCACGCTGATTAGACATGGAAATCGAATTCGAAACGCGACTTGTGTGTAATCGAAATCTTTTTGATCTTTGGCTACGAAATCATGCAAGGCAACCAGCAGCAACAAAAGCAAGTGCAGCAACTACTGCTGCTTATCAGTTGCACCCTTGCTTGAAGAACTTTTCCTTTTTGTTTTGTTTTTTAAATATAATGATCCCCATACAGGTTCATTTTTTTCATTTAATCTCATTTGGCTAGGGGTCATTGTGAAGAGTATTGTGTAGTCAAATGGCATTTCATTTATCTCTATTGTATTTCTATAGTCTATAGGGTATATTAGTGTGTTGTAATTTGTCTTTATCTAATATAAAACTATTCATAGTTTTGTTATCTACATAGTTTATTATTTATTATCTAGTTGTTTCTCTTTTGTTAGCATTTTAGATTTTTTTTATGTTTGGTTTTCAAACTTGAATTCTGGCTTTTTATTTGGTTTCCTAGATTATATTTGTAAGCCTGAACTCTTCATTCTTATATGAATAATGAATATGAATACTAAATAAATGCTAAAGGCTTTAAAGATCAACCGAATATGTTAAAGAATAGAATACATAAAAAGTAATTTATATTT